CTGTAAAGCATAGCTTACCAGCACTGTAGCCAAAATAAACACACCTCCACGTTTCATATTTTCAGACCTTAAATACAATATCACGATTACATATTTGTAATGCTGTGAGAGCTCTTTTTTCAAGTGCTGTGTGATGAACTGTGCAGGCCAGTGGTCTAGCCTTACAATCAATGTAAACACAACCTTGGTCTATTGATATATATATATATATATATATATATATATATATATATATATATATATATATATAAGATGAATAAATAATACAATTTATGAATAATAATCAGAATAAACAATTCTTCCACAAAGTGACAGCTCAGCAACCTTTTCAAAGCAATAATTGTAAATAGTAAATAGTAATACTTGGCCATCACGTCACATTATGTCAATCAATAAATCAATCGGGAACTAAAACAGTAATAAAAATAAAAACAGTCGGGAACTAAAGTGGGCCGGTCTAAGGCATGAAACTCCAGTGCTGAAAATGAGTCCCACTCCGGCCCTGCCAATTATAATAACCCATACTCAGAATTTGTCCTCATTTAACCCTTCTAAGTTAGTGCACACATATTAGGAACAGTAAGTAGTGAACACACAAACATACACACTGCAAACCATGTTGAAATAATATATTAAATATTAACTGTCTTGTTAAAACTAAATAAGAAGTACGTTTAATTATAATTTTGTGTGGACCAATATAATAATTTGTAAGGTGATGTGTGAATAGAATAGAATAGAATAGAATAGAATAGAATAGAATAGAATAGAATAGAATACAATGCAATACAATACAATACAATACAATACAATACAATACAATACAATACAATAGTTCATTCTTATTTCATTAGATGATGTTGTATGAATATGGTATAACATGATATAATTATATTTTTCCTATATTCTATTTCAAGTTTAACATAGATTAGAATAGACTAGAATTGAACAGAACAGAACAGAACCTTCTCATTCCATTAGATAATAGAATGCCTTTGTATATAGATTCTGCTCTATAAATAATAGAATAGAATAGAATAGATCCTTATCAATTGATTTTATCAGATAATGGTTAATGAGTAGAACAGAACTGAATGTTTATAGATGCATTCCATGAATAATATAATATAATATAATATAATATAATATAATATAATATAATATAATATAATATAATATAATATAATATAATATAATATAATATAATATAATATAATATAATATAATAAAAAAAAGTGTTTAAGTGTTTTCATGCTGTTCTATGACTAGAATACAACTGAACTGGACTGAACAGAATTGATTGAATCTTTCTGTTCACAATATACTCAGATACTATTCCTTGAATAGAAAACAACGAATTCTTCTGTTCATCATCAGATACTTTTCCTTGAATAGAATAGAATAGAATAGAATAGAATAGAATAGAATAGCATGGCATATTTTATGACGTTAAAGTACTTTCTCCAGTCACAGCTTATTTTGCAGAGAAAACATTACATTTGTTTGAACATTGCTAAGACAGACACAGCAACACTGGTTCAACCAATGATATTTCATGCATTTGTGCACAATTTGTGCAAATGTGTGGGTTGTTTTTGCACATAGTTGAGACTGCAAAATGACCAGATTTGTGTAATATTATAACATTAATCACCACAGTTGAAGGTTAAAGCCGACACTGATGCCCTGAACCATGAAATGGACGTTTGAGTTGTGTGTAGGAGGTGTCTTTAAGGAGCGCCCATGTGGGACAGGCTTAATTTAGCTCTCACAGAAGAGGATTCTGACACAGATTGTGTGTGACAGCTGTTTCCTCCCACACATACAGTACACAAACATGCTTTCAGACTTTCTCTTTTCCTCTCCCATATGCACACACCGACACACAACCCTTTCGCTCATATGCACACACAGACACACAACCCTTTTAGTGATAAAATATTACCGTAAAGAAGATACCACTTCAAAATAATGATTAAAATAAATAAATATGGAATGTGTGGAATGAGTAAAAGTTCAAAGGTGAGCCACTTTTGAGAAAAGGATGAGAAACCCAGATGCTGATATTTATGCGACATTAGAGCCAATCAATCTCATTGACTCCCTAAATGGATTATGTTAAAACTGTTTGCAGGGTTTAATGCTTTGTTGTGTTCAGTGTTTTCTCAATTAGAATATACAAATCATATTCACATAAAAAGGAGAAATACCTCCAGACAATCAATGTGTTGTGATACAAATTTGTAAATATAAAACTTAAAGGTATCTCAAAGAGGCCTGAGAGTTCTGTGTTTCTTAAGACTTCCCAAGAGTCCCAAAAGCTCATTATAAACACTTTTTTTTTCTCTCGCATGCATCACTTCACAGTCTCCACGGCGGATGCTTTCCCAATCCCCACACATCAGACATGGACTTCCACAGTATATAAATAAATCAGCCAATGATTTAGAAAACTTTCTGCCACCTCCACTAGTCTGCTGACAGTGCCTAGGGACACCTGAGCATCTGTTTCAATTCACACCTCACCACTGTCAAGAAGCACTTCAGGGGCCGTGAAGAAGTCAAGCCTTTTGTGATGTTGTGGGAAGTCTTGAGTTAATGCTTATTTTCTTTCGGCAAGTTGTGGCAAAAGAGGAGTGGTGGTTGGCTAAAGCAGCTGTTCTCAACGGGTTTCGCTTTAATCAGATGTTTATTGGTCTTTTGAAGCTGACATGTTTTAGTCAAGTATTAAAGGAGGCAAGACATTAGAAAAAATATCAGTCTACACATGCGTTTTATTTAATATTAGGGAAATAGACGCCTTCATGCGTGACAAAAAAATCTAAATACATTTTTTGTAATTCTGTAAATAATACTGCGCAAATCGGATGAGGAAGGGTTGGCTTCTTCATTTTATTTTATTTTTCGTGTTCATTTTTATGAGGAAAAAACAATGTTACAGATGTGACAGTTCTCTTTTATGGACACGACTGCTCTGAAGCGGCACTAAAGACGGCTTTAAAACTAAAACTTAAAACGTAAAACTATCACAGAGACCTCAAACAGAAGTCACAATGCCTTTCTTTAAAGTGAATTTCATTTAGTATTAATTGTATCTTAATTTTAATCAGTGTTTAATCAACCAATTCCTTTATGGAAGTAAAAGCTGACAATTATAGATAAGTCGCCAGTGAGGCCTGTTTCAAATGAAACGAGTGAAACATTGCAAAGGCCACAACCATTGACACTATCTAAGATCTATGATACTTCACCAACCTACATAGCACAATCCCCCTTAATTCTAACTCTGTCAAATTCTTAGCTTTGTTTATACAACCTACTGTCTGTGTATGTATCAAGTTCAAGTTCATGTTTATATTTAGGTTTATGTTCAAGTCAAATCATAGTTAAATCATGCCATCATCGTGTTTTGTTTGTATTTGTCCAAGTTCTGTTATGAAAGCTGCACTTGAGTTCACTTCAAACTGCCTTCAGTAGACATTTCTGCTACAACTGTATAGATCCGTTCTATAACTTTTTATGTAGACATTAAAACTCTGCATCCTAAAGGTCAGACAAAGGTCAGACAATATGCAAAATACAATTTGATTGAACTAAAATGAATAAAGTAAAGGAAAAAGGAACTTCAACTGATGTAGTGACGTTATATGTTATGAAAATTACACCGCAGGCTGAATGGGCCATTGGGACTTCTGTGTGGTGACAGCTTTTCACAGGATGTGATTTAACCAAGACACCCATCTTCTCTGTTCCATATTGCTTCAGTCTGATGAGACTTTCCATCTTAATAATGAAACACCCATCGCTTGCCTCATTCACACACGAGCAGCATTATCTCTCTCTCTTTATCTCTCTTTGTAAAATGTCTGTCTGTCTATCTATCTATCTATCTATCTATCTATCTATCTATCTATCTATCTATCTATCTATCTATCTATCTATCTATCTATCTATCTATCTATCTATCTATCTATCTATCTATCTATCTATCTATCTATCTATAAACAAACATTGTTTATTGTCATGTAGCCTCTGATGTAGCTGATAGTCTGTTTGCAACGGGTTGTGCTTGCTTTCTACATTTGTGAGGTGGTGACGCCCTCTAGTTTTTTTTTTAATTGAATACAAAATAACACATACAACGAAGGCAACGTATTCTTTCTACAATGCGTAAGGATAACAAGTAGAAGGCTCAACACAGTTTAACAGAAAATAAATAAATCAAAATTTAAATCAAAATTTACATTAACTTAAAATTAACAAAAAAATAAATAAACTAAAATAAAAGGTTCAAATTTAGAATTAAGGGGCAATGTCATACCAAGTCATAAGCAATCAAAGGATCAAGCAACTTAATAGCACTCCCACCTCTCATTTTTTTTAAGGGCTCTAGAAAAATATAGCCTATTAAATCATTTTTGAAAACAACAAGTAGGCCTAATGGGAAAGAGTCTTTCAAAACATAGGTCAAAACATGACCTACTCGAAAGAGAAAAAAGAATGAATGCATCATTGTACCCAGCACTTTTGAAAATGGCTTTCCGAGTACGTCTCTGTCCCCAGCACATTTCAAACCAAACTGACGCCCATGGGAAAGACTTAAAAAATCTACATTTGTGGATGAAAAACTTTGCCATTATTACAATGTTATTAATCAAATAAACGTTAGCACAGCAGTCTTTGAGAATTCCACATAAAATATGTTGTAAAGTAAAAGCAAAACCATCAACAACCACCTTCTTTTCTATCAACCAGTCCTGAACCACTATCCTGAAGATTTTGGACCAATTGCATGTAAAGAAGATATGGTCAGTGTCTTCAAGATGGTTATTACAGAAAGAACAGGGGGCAATATCTATATTACATTTTTGATTTACAGTAAGAATCTGTTAGAAGGATAGATTTCATTTAAGATTTTGAAGTGTGTTTCTTTTGCTGGTGACGCCCTCTAGTGAACACATTACGAAACAATCGATGATGACATTACTGTGCGCCGGAAAACTTGTTTGTCCCATGCCTTGACGTCAGCAGCTTGACAGCTTGGTTAGACACTTGCCCTGTTTAAAATTTGTTTCTCTGTAACTTATACCATAGACGGTATTAACCAATAATTGTGACATTATGAGCTGAAAGTGCGTTTGCCATTTTCTGTGTATTAACTTGGTACCACATGCTACGCCATGTCTTTCTTCGTAGATTCCGTCATAATGTTCACTTCTCAGGTAAGTCCTCTTTGACATTATTAAGTGCATACGAACAATGCTATCAAAATGTTTTTTTATTGTTTTACAGTGTACAATGAACAGCACGTTACCAAGTTTTAATGGATTAAATAGTCGTATAAGTACTTTTGAAGCTGTCTGGTTTTGGTTGCTGACTGCATATTGCAATATATAATGTTCCATCCACATAGAAAAGCTTTAAGAATGCTCCAGCTAACAATTTTCTACACACAGGTGCTGTTTTTCGGGTTCGGGTGGCTGTTTTTCATGCGGCAGTTGTTTAAAGATTATGAGGTATTGTGCATAAGAGTGTATATTTAACCCAGTTTTGTTGACTCTGGCCTTTGAGTATTTCTCATACTGGTGATATTTCTCAATTCTTCATCAGGTTCGACAGTATGTTGTGCAGGTGGTGTTCTCTGTCACATTTGCCTTTTCTTGCACCATGTTTGAGCTCATTATCTTTGAGATTCTTGGTGCATTAAGCAGCACGTAAGTATTCATGATTTACTTGATGAAATCATCATTGATGAGAACTGTAGATCAGATGATCACATGCTGGTTGTTTCCAAACAGGTCCAGATATTTCCATTGGAAGCTGAATTTGTATGTAATATTACTAGTTCTAATATTTGTGGTGCCTTTCTACATTGGCTACTTTGTGGTCAGTAATATACGTTTATGTAAGTAAATTCAGTTCTCACTTTATACAGTATTCCTTAACTTTTCCATTTGCTCAAAGTTTGCTCATGCACTGCACATGTTTGCTTTCTTCTCTCTTACAGTGCATAGACAAAGGTTGCTTTTTTCATGCGTGGTCTGGTTCACTTTCATGTATTTCTTCTGGAAACTGGGCGATCCTTTCCCTATTCTTAGTCCAAAACATGGTAGGCACTGTTCTTGTCACTTTAAGACCAAATGTATAGATCCAATATACTCTTACACAGTATGTTTCTTTCTCAACTGTTCACACATTCACTTAATACATAAATAATCGTGTTTACAAGGGTGCTTATAAAGATGAGCATTTTGAGGTTCAAGCCCAATTGTGTGGTAGGGACGAGCAATAAGGGCTTAAATAAGGGATATAAGCAATAAGGGCTATATCTCAATATTTTCTGGTATTTATTGTGATAATTATATCAATGACGATATAAATACAGTACCAGTACAAGTGATAGCTCCATGCATCATCTACAAACATCTACAGTAAAATGTATCCATCATCAAATAGGCTCCTATAATTTACCAATTACTTGAAAAAAAAAAAAAAAAAACTGTACAAATCCAAATGCCAGCCCTTGCAGAAATGGAAACATTAATAATCATAAGATAGTACTACTATGAGTTCTACCACTAATAACAATATAAACCACACCAAGGATGAGCTGATGGGCTCATGAATATTAATCACACACAAAAAAAAAACAAAAACAAGAAAACAATATGAACAAATAATAATAAAACAAAAAAAACAGAATTGATTGGTATATGAAACGTTTTTAGTAGATTATGTGAACAACTATTTGTTTCATTTGGAATAATGGAAACCAGTTAATCATGCACTCATTTGGAAAGTAAATATATTAATAATATAAATGATGTTTTCCATCTCAATAGTAGATGTGTATCTCTTTCTTGTGTTTTCAGGCATTCTGTCCATAGAGCAGCTGATTAGTCGTGTGGGGGTCATTGGGGTCACACTGATGGCTCTTCTGTCCGGCTTTGGTGCTGTAAACTGTCCTTATACATACATGTCTTATTTCCTAAGGTAACTTTGCTCTCAGACACATAATATAACAAGTGTGTTGTTTTGTATTTATATTTTTCGTAATAGATATTTGTTTGGCTTGTTTGCTCAGAAATGTGACAGACAGTGATATCCTGGCCCTCGAAAGAAGACTGCTCCAGACTATGGACATGATAGTCAGTAAAAAGAAAAGGTAAGAGATATAAAGAGAGTGATCCAATCAGTTCAGTTATATATATATATATATATATATATATATAATTTTTATTTATTTATTTTATTCCTGTGATGGCAAAATGTAATTTCCATTTTCCAGCATCATTATTCCACTCTTCAGTGTCACATGATCATTCTAATATGCTGATTTGATGCTCAATAAACATTTAATATTATTATCAATGTTGAAAACAGTTGTGCTGCTTAATATTTTGTGGAATCCGTGATAGATTTCAAGATTCATTGATGAATAGAAAAATCAAAAGAATGGTATTAATTTGAAATATAAATCTTTTGTAACTTTATTAGTCACTTTTGATCACCTGAACACTGAAGAAAAATATTTGTTTCTTACAAAAAAAAAAAAAAAAATCCTACTGATGGATGTTATATGAACATAAAAAAGTAAATAATTTAAGAACATAAGTTTTTGTATTCAAGAGTTTTATCATAACAGATTAAGATTTTTTCTTTATAATTAGTTTTTAATATCTCTTTGTAGGATTGCCATGGTAAGAAGGCAGATGTACCAGCGTGGAGAGGAGCAGAATAAGCAGACAGGATTTTGGGGGATGATAAAGAGTGTGACTTCTTCACCATCCGGCAGTGAGAGTATCCTTAATGACCTGGTTTATTTGAGACAGCAGGCTAATGTTAGTGTTCCTAAGTTGCAGGCCAGTTTTTGTCTCACTTGGGAGTGACCCAGCAGCTGGAGCGTTACTGAGATCATATATATTAATCACCATTGTGCTCTAAGTGTCTGTGCAAAGCGCTTAACCCCGTTCACTCCTAGAGGACTGCCTCAACAATTTACTTTAAAGCATTAGTTTATAGGCAGTAAAATATATTTGTGTGTCTGGTAAACCATTATGGGGATAAAATGTCCCCACAAAGATGGCAATATCTGAAATCCTTGTCCTTGTGGGGAAAATTCTTTGGTCCCCATGAGGAAACATCTTGTAAATCATAAGTGATGTTTTTTGAAAATGTAAAAATTCAGATGTCAGGAGATTGAATATACAATATACAAATCATTATGTCTATGTAAAATCCCCATAAAACATGGAAAGACAACTGTGTGTGTGCGCGCATGTGCATGTTAAATAGACTGGTTAACCTGCTGACTAAAAAACATGGATCTCAATCTCAACTGGTTTTGGAATATACATTTTAAGTTATCACAAAAGCAAACAATGATTTGCAAGTCAAACATTGAAATATATTCATATCTTTTTAATTCAAATTATCCACCGTGAAATAAAAGAGGTAATTGCTATTTTGTATTTTACAATTCTGACTCTTGCAGTTGTGAGTTTGTGTCTTGCAATTCTGACTTTTTTTACTCAGAATTGAGAGATGTAAACTCCTTTTTGTGAGATAAAGTATATATTTTTTAACAATTTTATTCTGAATCAGAAACAAGCTTCCACAATAAATCTCAATTAATGTAGTCAGGATTGTATTTTCTTCCACTTCATGTTGTATTACAGTATTTACTGTTTCCAACACTGAGAGCACCCATTTTTTGGGGTTGTGATGCAGCGGATTAGGACCACTGGCTGAAAGTAAGTTTGCTGTGACTTATGTTTCTTAACTCTGGCACTGCAGATCTTTCCCTGATCCAGCAGGAAGTGGATGCTCTGGAGGAACTCAGTAGACAGCTTTTTCTGGAGACCGTGGACCTGCAGGCCACCAAGGTATTTATCAAATGAACTACAGGACTACAGAACTGCCTAAGATTTATTTCTATCCACCTTTTTCCTAAAAATAAAAATAAAGATTAAAATCACTACACGAACAGTTTTATGTTTCTGTATCCCAAGGAACGGATAGAATACTCTAAAACATTTCAAGGGAAATACTTCAACTTCTTGGGGTATTTCTTCTCCATCTACTGTGTGTGGAAAATATTCATGGTAAGAACTGTTTCCTCATGTTATGATTTGCTTGTACTATAGAGTTTTGTAAGAATACATCTCAATCAGTGATGTAATGTGTTCTTCGTAGGCCACTATAAACATCGTGTTTGACCGTGTTGGGAAGACTGACCCGGTGACAAGAGGAATCGAGATCACAGTCAACTACCTCGGAATTCAGTTTGATGTACGTTATTTTAACCGTTAACTTAAACTCCTTATATTTGGCTAACTAAATCTCCATTAGACTTAGTCTTCATTTTATTTTTCTCTTTTGCTCAAATTTTGTTACTCCGCATTGAATTGTGAAGGAGTTGGTTAGATTTTTTTTTATGTTTTGAAAGTCTGTCAAGCTCACCGCTACATTTCTTTAATCAAAAATACAGTAAAAAAAAAAAAAAAAAAGGTTTCCTATTCAAATATAAATTAAAATGTAATGTATTCCTGTGATGTTAAATCTGAATTTTCAGCAGCCATTTGCTGCTCAAGAAACATTAAAAGTCTTATCAATGTTGAACACAGTTGTGCTTAAACTTTTTGTGGAAAGAACAGCATTTATTTAAATTAGGAATCTTTTGTAACCTTATAAATTTCACTTTTGAACAATTTACTGCATCCTTATTTACTTTTTACTTTTAAATCTTTCTTGACACAAAATCTTTGAAATGCTAGTGAATTTTTTTTTTTTTCAAGGATAAGGTTTGGTGATGCTAGAGGTGCATAAATCATCCCTTAACTTTTACATTTTAATGTCTCTTCATCTTCTAGTGCTTCTCTGCCTCCTAATGGCCAATATATAAAAACTGATCAGATCGCATTGTCACAGCAGGACAAATTACCACACCAGTTGTTTGTTTACCTTTTTTAATGATAGTAAATGATTACATTTGTTATTCCACACTCATTTACATAATCGCTGTGTACTAGTATCCACCCTAATAGACTTTATACTCATGATGACTGCGGTTGTATATGCAGGCTGTGATTGTGTGTGCTGTGTCAGCTGACATTTACAGCTTTGGTTGGCAGTTAATTGTTCCCCAGCCTGTTAAATGATGTTTAATCTTTCCCCATGGGAAGGTAATGATTCAGCCTCTTAAACATGTAATCTTGGTCCAGCTTCACTCTCGCAAGCGCAAGTGCTGCTCATCCCTTTTCTAATGGATAAAGCCTCTTAATTTATGTGCAGAAGAACTTAAACCTCTGTTTTCCCACAGGTCAAGTTCTGGTCTCAGCACATTTCCTTCATCCTGGTGGGAATCATCATAGTCACGTCCATACGAGGCCTTTTAATCACACTCACCAAGGTAATAAAGGATGAACATGTTTTTTTTGTTGTTCTTTGTTCTTGTTCTTTTTCTCATTCAGTCTTATCACTTAAGGGAAAACAGTCACGCATTACATGTGCGTAGGCGTGTTGGTTCAAGATTATATCCTTGAGCAACTGCAACATGGTATTGGCTGAATTCAGTTTCTGAGAAGCATTAATGATGTTTAAAGCTCATTAAAAGCAGTTTTGGGTAATCTTTTTCTTTTGTTCACAGTTTTTCTATGCCATCTCCAGCAGCAAGTCCTCCAATGTTATTGTGCTCGTCTTGGCTCAGATCATGGTGAGACAAAATATAAAATAGAATAGAAATAACTATATATTTCCACAAAATGTATCTTAAATTAATAAGAAGTGACAGTGAAGACATGTGAAGATTTATATTTCAATATAAATGCTTTTCTTTTGAACTTTCTATTTATCAAATAATCTTGAACAAAAATGGCATGATTTCCACAAAATAATTATTTTTATATTTTTCCACAAAATTTGTATTTAATTCAAGTCAAAAAGTGATGGCGAAAGACGTTTGTGTTTTGAATGATTTCGGTTACAAATAAATGCTGTTCTGTTGAACTTTATCTTCATTAAAAAAATGTTCTACAGTTTCCACAAAAATATTAAGCAACTCAGCTGTTTTCAACATTGATAATAATAATAAATGTTTCTTGAGCAAAGCAGCATATTAGAATAATTTCTAAAGGATCATGTGACCGAAGACTGGAGTAATGATGCTGAAAATTTAGCTGTGCCAACACAGAAATAAATTACATTTGTAAATATATTCTAATAGAAAAAAGGTCATATTTTACAATATTGCTGTTTTTCACTGTACTTTTGATCAAATAAATGCTGCTTTGGCGAGCATAAAATATTTCTTTCAAAAGCATAACATTTTTACTGACTCTGGAAATGTTTAAACAGTTCAGTGTGCAGCAGAATTAATAGATGATTGATTAATATGTGCATAAATTATATATGAAAATTGAAAATAGTCTAATATTATGTTATAACCAATATTATCTCATGAAAAAAAAAAAAAATGACAGATAGAAACTAATATAGTCTCCCATATATTGTGAAATGAATCATAAAGAAACATTCCTGGTTCCAATTTTAAATAATTTACCAATATAAGTTCAAGAACTATTAAAAGAGTCAAAAGTCATACAAACTTTTGCTTCCAGTATTGTTGAAAAGTGCAACTGTTTTTGATTCCCAACTGTTAATATTGTAAACCCTTACTAAACAGAAAATGGTGTAGCATCTTACCCTCTCTCTACTGTCTTTTTGTAGGGCATGTATTTTGTGTCGTCGGTGCTCCTGATGCGGATGAGCATGCCTTTAGAGTACCGCACAATAGTGACTGAGGTACTGGGAGAACTGCAGTTTAACTTCTACCACCGCTGGTTTGACGTCATCTTCCTGGTCAGCGCTCTCTCCAGCATCCTCTTCCTCTACCTGGCCCATAAACAGGCACCTGAGAAGCACATGACCCTGTGACCTTACAAGTGACCTCATCAGAGACAGACGCACAGGACTGAAATGTGCCTTTTCTGTTGTCTCTCCTTTCAGAAGGACTTTCATGCCTCTATCCTGTAATGAGCATTATTGGGTCTGTATTTCCTGAATCAGGAGGCCCCCAGAGACAGTATTTATTAGACTTTGGGTTTAAAGACTGTGATGCTGGTTCACTGTATCATTTGAATAGATTTATATTATTGGAGGGAACAAAATTGCATACAATATTGGTGTATTTTTTTTTTTTTTTATAAAGAGCATAAAAATTCCCATACCAGGTGTTATGTTTTCCACAGTAGGTGAACAAAAATAACCCGTCTTACTAGTTTGTTTGGCATGAAACCAGCCTCGAACCATCTTTTATCATTAATAGACAACACATACTGTTTATCTCAGCAACACCCAGAGATGTTACAGTGGACTGTTGAACTCTAGTTTTGCTTACAAGCCTGTTAATCGTTACTGTCATTTCATGTCTTGTCCAGGAACATTAAGAATGATTCACATATTGATACTGTATGGAGTGAGTGAGAGCCATAATCTGAAATCGTGCTGGCATTTATGTTAATTTAGGCTATTTTGTGTTCTTCTTTTTTGTTAGATGGACGGGTGTTTTTTATTTACTAAATGGGCTGTGCCAGAGACGTAACCGTCCATGGTTTATGCTCAAATTAAGTCAGCTCAGAATTCAATAAAAAAGGCTTTTCAAACATTTCCACTGTTTCTTCAGTTATATTCAGTAGTTTAAATCCTGCCGATTTAAAAGGTTTTACTTATCTGGAGATAGTGTTTTAAATATGTTGCAGGCCTCTCCCCTCAACTTATTTCACCATTTTGAAGTGACGTGACCAGTGATGTTTCTCTAAAAGTGTCAGAGATTCCTTACGTTTATTGGCTGCCACCTCTGTAGATATGCTAGTAGCATAGTGTTGTTCTGTGATGTGACGGGTACAACTGAAGTCTCCAAAATGGTCAATCAAATTTTTGTGGAAAATTGTAGTATTTACTAAATGTCCAATTCATTATTTGTTTTGACATTCATGTACCTTTTTAATCGAAATAATTTCCCCTCCCTCTTGCACCAACATTTCTTCTCTGATGACATGTTTACTAGCGTGAGGGCGGGACAACCTGTCACACATGAGATCGACCAATAGCAAACCACAGCCATCCAATGAATTCCCAATGGACAAAGTCAAGTCCAATGTTTAACTCCAATATACATCACAATATGGAATAAAACACTGTCGCAACTCCAATTACATGCCGGCTTTAATTATTGTGTAGATTGCTCTCTGAAACTCAGTGTAATTTGCATAAAACATTGTTTTTCGTGTAACAATTACAGTGTTGAAAAACAGTGATGCCAACACTTGCTTAAGAACTTGCTAAATCCACCTTTAAAATGAAAAGAATGGGTTACTCTGAATTCTATTTGATATTGCACCAAATACAGACCAGGTTTTATTCATTAGGCATCCACCAGGGAAAACAAAAACAAAACATCTAGTAGAATAAATTACATATCAAGAGGTATGCATTGTCTGAGAGTCTGTAACTGCTTATAATTGTATATCTCATAAATCAAAAGTATATTAAAGCAAGTTTAAATAGATTGTCATTGTAGAGCCCAATGAAAGCAGTACAGAAATAAGCTGTTGTATTTGATATCCTTATTAAAGTTATCAATGTTCTTGCAGTCTTTTGTTCAAATGGGCATTTCATCTCTTAATAGATTCTGCAGTTTATGAGGTAAGTGCATCGATATGTCACTAAATCACATTGAAAGGGCACCTTTATTTTAAGGTGTCCTTGTTACAAAGCAATTATATATTTAAGTACTGAGTAATATAATAAACACATATTTACTATATGGTTTGGTTTTGGGCTGGTTGCATTTAATTATGCACAATTTACTGTTGTACTATATAGTAAGTTCATGTAACATGTCTAACAAGGGCACTAAAATAAAGTGATATTAAAAGTATCTGTTGGTACAGGAAAGTGTAGTGCGCTCAGAGCCTTTCGTCCTCACTCGTATCTGATGCTGAAGATGATGATGATGATGATGATGATGAGGAGGAAGCCTAGGGTGAAAAGATAGATGCTGGAGTCAGGATTTAGTCATAGTTCATAGTATAGATATAAATCATTATAATATGATGATTTTCTGCTCAAGAAACATTATTATTATCAGATAAAAATAATCGTACTAATCTTACTAATCTTACTAATCTAACTTTATGGAAATCATTGTCTTTTCAGAATTATTTGATGACTAGAAAGACAGTATTAATTTGAGTAAAAAAGTAAATGACCCCTAAACTTTTGAATGAATCAGTTTAAAGGAATAAAAAAATATATATATAAACATACTAAAAAAAATACTTGTATGTTTGAAACATACTTGTTTGAAAAAATTCAAACAAGTTTGAAATGACATGAGGTTGAGTAAAAGATGACAGAATGAAAGAAAAAGTATTGTGAGGCATATTGAAAATGTTGAAACCCTAGTTCTGTCTGCTGAGAATGGGAAATATTGGAAAGCAGTACTGACCCTTGAACGGGTTTGAGCTGGTGGAGTGGCTGGTCTTTCACTCTCACTTTCTGTATCTTTCCTCTTGTCCTCTTGTGTATAAGCTGGTGCTGGGACATCAGTGGAGGGCTCATTATTCAGCAGTTGAGGGGTGATGGCGATCCCTTGTGCTTTCAGGTAGTCATAGGCTGTCCTCTCAGCCACTAAGAGGACCAGCGTGTCCCCGCTCTTGCGGATGAGGTTAACGACTTCCTCATGTGTGCTCATTTCCACGTTCACCCCGTTCACCTCTACAACCATGTCTTCATCCTCCAGTCCCGCTCTGTCTGCTGCTCCACCTTTCACCACCTGGCAGAAAAAAATCATTAAAGGTGCAATGTGCAATATTTTTGAGGATCTATTGACAGAAATGCAATATAAGATCCATAACTATGTGTTCAGTGGTGTATAAAGACCTTACTCAACGAACCGTTATGTTTTCATTACCTTAGAATGATACATTTATATCTACATAACCGCGGGCACCCCCTTCTATGAAGGTCGACATATTGCGACATCATGTTTCTACCGTAGCCGACTAGTGCTAAAGAGCGCGTTTCATTTATACCTTGAAAGAGAAGCTGCAGAAAGCTAGAAGCTAGCCATAAACACAGTGAGTAGCAGAAATCTGTCTAACGGAAAGCCTTGGCACTTCCTATTAGCCCCATTGTGTATCATCATGGTTGCAGTTCCATTAGAATTCCACTGGAGGTGATCACGGGCGAGTGCAGAATGAATGGGAGTCTATGGAGCTAAACGGCTAAATGTGTCTCTTTCTCCATGCTTGTCGTTGAATCAAAATAGATTTTATTGTTGATTGCGCAAGTTCAATATAGATTAGGCAAAAAGTCGAATGAACGACTACTTATGTCCTTTCGATTTCTTACAGGTTAGGCCGGAACACGCTAGCTACTGTGTGACGTCATCACATTTTTGAATGGATATTTAGAACAGATAAGTGAACTTAAAAATGCAATTTTCAGCTTAGTGTATTATCTTAGCCCTCCCTTTTGAATGCAACTTTCAAATTACTTGACAAAAAATTACATCCTGAGAAAAGTGGATTTCTGGGGGTGAAACCCCATAGACTCCCATTCAATCTGCACTCGACCGCGAGCGCCCCCGCATGGACAGAGACTTGTTACTGCAGCCAGTCCAGAAACCGGAAGTGACCAGCCAGTGCCAATTCTCTTCAATTAGACATTCTCAGTGGTGTAAAATATGTAGTTGGATTGTTTCATGCAACTTAGTTCTTCTCCCTTGCTGTGTTATGACTTTGACAATCAGCTGATTAGAACTGTTGACCATAAAACAGTATTGTTACAGAAGTCAACAACCTGTCGATCTTAAGCATTTGAAGTCGATCATGAAAAGTTTACAAAACCAGAGAAAAAAAATCATTATTATTTATTCATTTGTGTGTTGTAAATGGTGTCTAGGGGATGCAGAGGCACGCTCACTGTTACGATCACGTCATTTTTGTCGCACACACCTTTGAGCTCATGCTGACGCGTCAAGTATAAACAAGTATAAACAATGCTTTACGCTTTAACCAGCTCAGCCACAGCCCTACAGCATAACAGCTCATATTAGCCAGCTAAACTTTTACTACTCTGTTAGAAAAAATAGTTGGATAGTTTCATTTGGTTCTTCTCCCTCGCTGTATTATGGGTTTGCTATGTGGGGAGAAATGTGCTGGTTACGTTCGTGAGACAATCAGCTGATTACTATTATTATATTATAAATTAAAACCCTTGATCCTCACCTAACTATGGCTTGGTAGCTTTATCCATGATGTGGTTTTATAATGGACTGTGGTACAGAAACAGTGACAATGTTACACACTCTTGGCTTACTCTGGCTATTCTCTGCTGTCTCAGATGACAATATGTTTGTCCTGTTTTAGCCACCGTAGCTTCTTCGAAAGGGAGGGGTGAGCAGTGGACGGAGCCATTAGTGCAACTTGGAACTGAACCGCTAGATGTCGCTAAAAAATCACACATTGCACCTTTAAAGCAGTTACTCACCCTCATGTTCTATATCTGAAGGATATTTGTGAAGATACTTATAGATTTGTTTTCCTAGCTAAACTCTAAAAATTACAATAAAAATATCATTAAGGTGGTTTCTCCGTATACTACTGAAATACTAATACTAATATACAGCTTATAAGTGAATAACAACAACTTAAATTGCAGTCAAAATTTCAGATTATCAGACAAAACCGATTTTTATTTAAGTAATCATAATTTAAAATTGCATTTAATTTTGCTTTGAACCAGCGTAATTCTGTTCGTCGTGAAAACGATTACATTTATTAATTTAACAAGTAAGAACATGGTTAAAATATGGTGTTGATTGAGCAATATTTAATTAGTTAAAATATGTGAGATTATAATAAACTGGGTTAGTGATGATAAATGTATAAACTTGGTTATTGTTTATTTAAAACACATTCAGTTGATTGATAGTATTACAAAAATCCTACCTAGTTTTTTTTTAACCAGTTCAATGTAGGCTACTACAGATAAATGTGCACCACATTAAGTTTATTATAGTTAATGTTCCATCCAAATGGATAGATATTTTAAATCTTAAATTTATAACTACATTTTGAGTATGGCACTTGGATTATATGGTTTGGGGACAACACTTATGATTATTTTATGATGCTTTCATGGTGCTTTCCTGCTTTGCTGGAGCTTGACAGACACAACACCCAATTTACTTTCATTAAACGGACAAGAACAGCAGGTATTTTCTTTAAATATGTCATGAGTGAACCTATTAAACCTATTGAGTGAAACTATTGAAACACTGAACCTGTAAAAAATAGATCTAGACAAGCTTTCTATAAATGTCAGTAGGGCATTTCTCAGACCTCTTTGATGTACTGTCCATTAACTCCCTGGATGCCATTGAGATGGAAACCAAATCCAGCGGCAGTCTTCTCAAGTCGGCACAGTTTGGGTTTGTGGTCCACATCTGATGGGACAGGTACAGCTGGGACAGGCGCAGGCACTGCTGGAGCAGGTTCATGCTCAGGATAGCCGGGCAGGGATCCTCTCATTTCCTCCCAATACAGAAGTGGAGATGCACCACCCTTGTCAGAACAGTATCATTCAATAATTTAATATAGTATGTAAAGTATAATATAAAACAAATGCAAGTGGAATATTTAAGACTACAATTTTATTTACACTTATTTTGATGGTCCATATTATACATACGCATAAAAAATAACATTGCAACTATGTGCATTCTCATTAGAGTATTTGTAGACTGTTAGACTGTTAAGTTTGGGTAAGGTGTTAGGGCTCGGGTTAAAATTATTTGACATGTTTGCAAAGTTGCTTATAGTCAGTATAATATCTGTTGTGGAGCATCAAAATATAGAGTTATTAGATATTAAGCAGACAGTCTACCAATACTCTAATGAGAGTTAGTTGGCGTAGTTGCAAGTCACTCATACTTAGTAGAATGTCCAAAGAGGACCATCAAAATAAAGTGTACCCAATTTTTTATATAAATTTAAGTACGCAGTCACCAGACATTGTGCATTCAAATTATTCCTGTATTGCCAGCCCATTCTCACCCCCAAGGCGTCACTTAACTGACGCCTTGGGAAGCATTTGGACATGCTTCAATATCTGACGCTTTAGGCGCCCTTTAGCATCAGTTAGATGACGCCCTAGGATCGCGTGTACCCTACCCCCACCCCATACCTAAACCTAACCGCGTCCTCTAACTGACGCTTTCCTTTAGCGTCAGTTAGATGACGCCGTAGGATCGCGTCATGTAAGTGACGCTAAAGGGCGCCTAAAACGTCAAATATTGAAGCATGGTCAAAGGTGACGCCTTGGGGTGAGAATGCGTTGGTATTGCAGCAATGTCATTGAATGAAAATGACTCACCAATTTGTAAATTTTCTCAGTTTCAGCATCCAGCACCAGGAGGCAGCACTTGTTTCCTTCTTTGCCAATTTTGTTCACCACCTGCTCATGTGTGCAGTTATTGATTTCCTCTCCGTTCACAGCCACAAGTCGGTCCCCATTCTTCAATCCTGCTCTCTCTGCAGGGCTTCCTTTGTCTATTTCTCCAATGTAATGACCTGAGATACAACACAAAAAACGCCACGAATCAAATATTGAAACATGACACAAACATTTTCTACTTCTTACTTTATCTTTTCACAAAATTTGTTATTAGTATTGGAATTACTTCATTAGTTCTAACAAAAATATGCATATTTAACTCATTTCTTAGGCTATTTGCATTGTCGTTAAATGCTAAATTTACAGTGCAAAGATAACACTTTATTTCGATAGTCTACTTTAGACATTCTACTTACTATAAGTAACTTTGCAGCTATGCGTCAATGTCTTTAGAGTATTAATTGACTGTCTGCTTAATATCTGCAAACTCTTTATTTTGATGCTCCCCAACAAACATTCTAATGAGTGACTATATGTAACTTGGCAACTATAAGTCAACTTTTTCTCCTAACCTGAACCCTAACACCCACCTAACCTGACAGTCTACTACAGCCTACTAATACTCTAATGAGAGTTAGTTGACATGTAGTTGAAAAGTTACTTATAGAAAATCTAAAGTGGACAATCGAAATAAAGTGTAACCAGTGTAAATAGTTGTTACTTTGTGGCAGATGTTTGCACCTCAGTCTATTGAAACACATTATAAAACAGTATGCAACAATAACAATTAATGTATACGATTATTTATTAAAATCATAAATGGACACGGCCTTATTTGGACACAACGCATTCTCACCCCAAGGCGTCACCTTTGACCATGCTTCAATATTTGACGTTTTAGGCGCCCTTTAGCGTCACTTACATGACGCGATCCTACGGCGTCATCTAACTGACGCTAAAGGAAAGCGTCAGTAAGAGGACGCGGTTAGGTTTAGGTGTGGGGTGGGGGTAGGGTACACGCGATCCTAGGGCGTCATCTAACTGACGCTAAAGGGCGCCTAAAGCGTCAGATATTGAAGCATGTCCAAATGCTTCCCAAGGCGTCAGTTAAGTGACGCCTTGGGGGTGAGAATGGGCTGTTGGACAGTACACCTACCCATAACCCTATCTGATAAACACTTTATTCTCACTATTAAATACCCATTAGGCACTAATTTCACTTTTTAAATATCATTAAAATAATCACCCCTCCAAACTGATATGCGATGGAAAACGGGAGAGTGAGTTCGGAAAAGGTGCTTCCAAAGCTAACACCACCTTCCTCTCCAGGTCACTGCTCCGGTTATCACATGGGTTTCTTTTGCAATTTTCTCTGGCTCTATCAGACAATGGTGAGCGGATTTAGTGGAAATATAGCCTCTGCTAACAGCTGTTTACACATAGTGTAAATAGACTCTCAGATTTAGGCACTTTAATGTTTTATTTTAGCTGAATTGAACTGGTTTTATAATTTACATAGGTATTGCATATTGCATAATATTACATAGATATACACATGTATCACATTGAACTGATTTCAATTAATTAATGTCTGTGTAGAATTGTCTTTTTAGAGCCGATTTGCAGCAGAATTGAAAGTATATGTTAATACCTTAAAATTGTAAGTTTAGTTGACACATATCCATGTTGTCAAGACATTAACTCACAATGGAATTCTTTTTATAGGATCATAGAGCCATTACAGTTGTAGATAACCTTTGCGTTGTATCTAATCAAAATTCCTCAGTTACACAATGTCCTTACATTGCAATAAACTTCAGTGAGTTCAGTTGGCACCACCATGCTAAACAAAAGGGTAATGATGCAATGGTTAATCGAATCTGGGCTGCTAACATAAAATTCCCAGGACCCAGAACATTACAATCCTGCTGTATTTCCCTTGTGTGCAGTGCACTTAATCTTAGGTTGCAACAGTGAGACGTCCGTCCAAGCAATTAGTGTACTATAAGTCAGAGTATGCATCTAAAGGATGCAATTCTTACTTACAAAAAGAATACATAGCTTGTGACATTAAATATTCAAATCTACAACTACTTTTATATTCATTATAGCTGGTTGAGAAAAAAAACTGCACTGCTATAACACGTCCTTCAGCATAAAGCAAAAGATAATCCACCAAGACACTAGGAAATTTTTCATTTACCCAAAATGAAAGCTCACAAATTGCCTATTTTGAGAATTTGGACAACTGAAGCAGATTTAATTTAGACTGCATCTAACTTTGAAAAGGCCTAAAGGTCAATATGTGAACGATAACACATTTTACTTAAGTGACGTGTAATGCGTATTTCATGTTGATATACTATGGCAGATTGCACATACTCACCTGAACGTTCAGGATCTTCTTTCAGGATGAAGCCATAACCATCTGATCTCTTGATCATGTCTGCAATGCGTGGCTTATGTGAGAGGTGCCTGACCGTGGCGTGAGCCACCCCTGGTCGAATGCTTTTGCTCTTGAAGTATTTCTCAGCATCCTCCTCCACCAGCAGAAGCATTACTCTGTCACCGGCTGCTTTCACCTACAATAACAAAGGGAATACGTTATTATAATATTCTCCTCAAAGCACACTGATATTTGGGGTAATGCAGGGTAAAACATTAGAGTCAAGGTCTTCACCAGCATGCATGACAGCTATTAAAGATAACCTATTATGATTTTTTGTGTTTTTTTTTTTTTTTACATATTTAACTTACATATCCATTACATTTACAACTTTAGTGTTTAATGTTGCTGTATGAGCATGAAAAAGGCCTGCAACGTTACAAAGCACAAAGTCACCCCAAAGGGATTTATTCAGTCCATCACTAAACACTGTTTCCCTGAAATGCCTCAATTGTAGTCTTGAGTTTTCTTCTGGTAACGTACACATCCCAAAATTCTTCATTAATATAATTCCTGCCCAAGGCATATGCAAAAAATAAGAAGCAGCGAAGCCTTGATGAGTTACTTTAATAGTGTGTTGAAACTTGCAGTTATGCTAAGGTACATGACATTTCCAAAACACACTTGAAACGGTTGACCATGACCAATCAATCACAACACGCTGGTCCAGCTGACCAATCAGAGCACATTTGAAAAGGAGGGTCTTCCGAAGGAACTAAACAGAGCATTACTGACAGACTGGGAAGAGAGGTGCTGCAACAATGTAAAACTATGTGAAAAATAATGTGTTTTTGAACATGCAAACATATCCTATTCTAGTAAAGTCCAAAAACAAATTCAAGGCTTTGTAAAAGGTCATAATATGGCCTCTTTAAAGGAATAGATCACCCAAAAAATGAAAATGATGTCATCTTTCACTTACCATTATGTCACTCCAAACCTGTATGACTTTCTTTCTTCTGTGGAAGGCAAAAGATATTTTGAGGAATGTCAGTAACCATACAATGAAAGTGAACCAAACTGTATGGTTATCAAGATATTTCAAAATATCCTCTTTTGTGTTCTGAGAAGAAAGAAAGTCTACAGGTTTGGAATGCCATTAGGGTGAGTAAATGATGACAGTCTGATCCCTTTAAAGCTTGTCTGAAACCCTAAAACAGCTGTATTATAAAATTTTTGACAAAGGGGAAATGTTAGACAGGAATTATTGTAGTTAGGATGACAGGTTAACTTACCTTTTGCACAGTCTGATCATGTGTGAGACTCTCAACATTTTCACTGTTTATCTCCACCAAACGATCACCTATTTTCACACCCGCCTGATCAGCTACTGATCCTGACACCACTTCTGTCATGAACATGCCATGAGTACCTGAAAGAAAACAGGGTTAAAACAACTTCATTTCACGAGCCATTCCAAATATTTCAGACAATTATCAACATATTGGTTGATTTATCCAAGACAGGCCTGAGAAAACGAGTTAACCTTTAATTTTCTTAGCCTCAGATGACCATTTGCTGACTGTTGACAGCACTGGAAAACATGCTCTTGAGTTGGCAACCTGACTTGCTGACCATGAGCATTTCTGAGGATGAACTAATATACCAGGGTTCGCCAGTTTAGAGGCAAATCTTTAAAAGATATTCAGACTGAGGGTGAAATTTAACTAGATTCACTGCTTTTGTGAAATCGTTGTGAAGTGCCTCTTTTGGAACCTTTGTTTTGAAGTGTACTTTGGATGGACACCAATTGAAATTGCAACAATTTTCTTTACACATTTGATATTTAATTTTCTATCTTCATGGTCCCATGGTCTATTGTTCAAGTATTCAATTCTTGGCCCAAATTGTAGACCAGGTTTTATCCTGTTAATCAAAGATCTGGCTGTGGAAGTTTTATAGCGTACCTTTGATGGACTTTAAGGAGAAACCCAATCCACTGCTGGATTTTTGCAGGTAACAAAGTTTGGCTTTAGGGGCTGGTGCAGACACTCCATTCATGGTGGGTTGGCTCTGACCTGACTGGGACTGAGGGTCGGCAAGATTCACACCCTTGGCTTTGGCTGTCTTATAAGGCTCCTCTCCAAGAACGTATAATGTTACGCTCATCCCACTCTTTCTCACCAAATCTGCAACCTTACCCGAGAAAAAGTAACGTACGAGGTAAAACTTTTTGAATAAAGCATTGTATTCCTTTCAGTAGCCACAATCATGAGATTAATGAAACATTTTGAAAAGCCATTTCCAATTACAGTATATCAAACCTGACTGTGCTCCAAATTGTCCACAAAAGTTCCATTGACTTTGATAATGCGGTCTCCATCCTTCAAACCGGCCAGCTCAGCAGCGCCGCCCATCTCCAGGGCTCGGATCAGGTGACCCTCCTCACCGTGCTCCACTCGGAGGAAGAAGCCATAGCCCTGTCCCTCTCGCTTGGTCAGAGAAATAATACGTGGTCTTGGCCCAGCCATTTTTATCTGTTTGGAAACATTGGTTGATCAGTGTTGCCTTAACGCTGAGGTCTTCTAAAATGTGATAATATGCTCTTCTTGGTACATCTGATCTTATCTTATCAGATGCTCACAATTCATTATATACCAGTCATTTGGTGATCAAATTGGAGATTACAATCTAGAATGTATTCATTTCTCATTATACGTGAGTTATAATGACAAAATGTTGTGAGATAAATCCCGGGTGTTGGCAATCAATGGCAGCAGACAAGTGCAGATTAAACAAAGAGGAACCCTTCCAAGCTGACGCGATTATACAATCTCGTGTTCTTGAAATGGAGGTGATAAGTAACTGGGGTAATATAGAATTATCAAAGGCCATATAATCATCGACCTGTGTTAGGGTGCATCTACCAATCTACTGAAGGTTTAAAGTCAACGTATTTCACATAAAAAGTTAAATTATTTCTGAGGCAGAGCAGGTATGCATTCTTAATTAAATATAAATTCAATTCAATTAGTTACTAAATTTAACTGGATATCAACTAAAATTAAATGATTAAGGGAACTATTAAAAATGTATTAACCTTCTGATTTTAATATACACCAATTAATCATGCGCAATAATACCAGGAATGTGTAATCTAAAGAAAGAAATAACGTATAAATAAATAAATAAATAATAGAGCCAGCGCTCTGACCCAACTGTTAATTGTTAACAAAGTGGATAATTGTTTTTATGTCCAAGTACTTTGCTCTTAAACGCTTGTACATTGTCTCTGCAATTACGATTACAGATCATGAAATAAGAAAGAAAGAAAGAAAGAAATTAAGAGAGTGAGGGAGCACTCTGATTCTGTAATTTTTCATTGTTACCAAATTGGCTAAATGTGTTTATTTTAAACTGTTGTGGTCTAAAACGCTTGTACATTATCTTAGTAATTACGAATGTCAATCATAAAAGGCTTCCAAGGCTTTGGCAAGATTGCCTACAGCCTTTGTTCATTTTCATAAATGTTTTACCAAGGAAAACTGCATAAACATAGCTGTAGATTAAAGCACCACAGATGCCATATCAATTACATAATACCTCACACATCAGCTGAGAGCTGAAGTACACTTCTCACACTTGAGTGCTTCATGAACTGCTATTTGAGCTAGTAATGATTTCACACCATCACATTATGCCTAGAACTACCTCCTTTCTGCTGTTTAATAATTAATGCTTACTTGCTTCAAGTTTCTCATCTGGTACAAATAATTTGAAAACAAGAATTTCACTTAAGCTGTCAAACGGGTCAGGAAGCATGATAACATTTCTCAGCAAGATTCCAAAGGATAACTTAGAGGTCCGAGTATAGCATTATTCTATTCTATTCTATTCTATTCTATTCTATTCTATTCTATTCTATTCTATTCTATTCTATTCTATTCTGATAAAAGTTTCAAATGACATGACTGCACATTTTCCAAATTGTTGTCCAAAACATTTCTATTCCATTCCATTATATTTTATCCTTATACAACTTTCAAATTACATGACTCTAAATATACTGAATTTCTACTCTACTCTATTCTATTCTATTTTATTCTGAAAAAAATAAAATAAAATAAAATGACATGGAATATATTTTCCAAGTTGTAAGTTAAATTTTTATTCTATTCTATTCTGATAAAAACTTCCAAATGGTATGACTCTGTATATATTTTCCAAATTATATATATATAATTTGTATAATTATATATATATATATATATATATATATATATATATATATATATAACATTACATATATATAACATCACATTATATAAAATTATATATATATATATATATATATATATGCATTATTATCTTTTCTTTTTCTCTGATGAAAACGGTCAAACATGACTCTGAATCTATTTTCCAGATTTTAAGTTACACCTTAAAGCAGATAATATTTTAACGTAGGCTATATGTATCTATGTTCTGCAAAGAAGTGTAGCACTCACCAGCTGCAGTCTCCTCAGTGTCCCAGTCTAAAGGAGGTGGCTGCTTGCTTCTGCTCAGGTGTTATCTAGCGTAAGTGTAAGTGTGTGTGTGAAGGACTTTGAAAGGCCAAAGGTTGATCTAAAAGGTGAGTTATTTAACCATGTCCCGTGGCTGGAGGGTTATTCTCTGTTGCTATGTGACCATACCCAAAATAAATTTCATAAAAAAAGATCTTGTTTTAACAAGACATGCACCTTAATTTGTAAATCTATAAAGTCTGAAAGGATATCTCTTATCCACTGTATTTAATTTTACATGGTTTATTCCATGGCTGTAAAAAGAGTGTGTTCATTCAAGGTACAATACCATTCAAGTCCACAATATCGCAATCCAATTAACCAGACTGCACTAAATATATCTTGAAGGATTCTTTTGCAGTTAAAATTACAATGCAACTCTAAATTCTTAGTAATATACAATAGTGTCCCAAAATAAGCCTCGGATAATCGACGTCTTGCAACAAGTTTTACTTGCACAAGAGGGAGCTGATGCTCCACTCCACCTGTCTATTCATTCATAACTTTCCCTAAAGCCTTTTGCTCACGTACTCCACAAACTCCTTTCAATGTCTCCACCTCTCCAGGATGCTCAAATCCCTGAATCCCACCGACACACCCCCAAACTCCCACCCCTGCTGTTTAAGAGCTCATCAATAAACCCTCGGTCCACGCGCAAGAGAGTCACTGCCGCTGCGCGCTTCATCACATTCTCAATACATAGCAACTGTGCCTACACACTGCTGAGCAACAACGGCTGAAGCGTTTTAACCAGCATAAACGAATCCTATTTCTCCCTGATTACCTTTTTGTTTTGTTGTTTTCATTGCTTCTTGATATCCTCTTTGAACGTAAAATACTATCTAAGCCACTATAGCTAGACTATTGGGCTCATTAGACACGTATTGTTAACTGATGATTGCGAGGAGCTACTAAAATAGCTGTGGTTAGGTCCGAAATGGATTTACAAACGCTAAATGATACGTCTGGGATTTGGGCATGTCTCCAGCCTCAGAACGGGACCTCAAACGGAAGTCTGGAGTTCCCCAACGGCACCTGCGGAGATGCGCTCCTGCTCCCCAAGACGGAACCAGCGCGCGCCAAAGGTGAGGATTTCTCGTCACGCCAGACAGCCGTTTCAGATCGTTCGTTCAAAGCCACTCGTTCTCGGTCACTCCAACAAAGACCTAGGCTACCGAAGCTTATTTTGACCACGACATTATGAAAGGGTTGGATAAGATTATAGCTATACACATACAATAAAATAAAACATTTCAGTAGCTAAACACAAAAGTCAGATTAGTTAGTTAGCGTAAGCCTACTAGGCTATGCAAGGAGCCTAATCAGAGACTTCTAGGCTGCATGTTGAGATACGTATTTGAAACCCATTTCCTCCATATTTAAGAAAAAGCCCTTATCATCAAACACACGTCTGTCATTATTACCATAGTGCTCTAACAGCTTCTTCAAATACCGATTTTGGACTTTTAACATACACTGCACATTCATTCTTCTTCATGGTGACTCCAGGATGTTTTTGTCCTGTATCATTGTATTATATAAGAATATGGCATGGTACTCATTTCGCACTGGTGTCAAATTGGTGTACGAGGCTATGTCAAATGGTGTATAAAGGATATCTTGGAAAACTAAACTGTTTCTGGCAGCATCGCTAGCTTGATTTGTCAGTGCAGAGTGGTAATTCAGATGTCCGTGCGATGGTTTATTGGTTTCTTTCTGATGCCTTTGCAGTAAGTCAACTGGAGATGATGATACAACAAAAGAATAATGAAGTATGTGGAAACCTGATTTAGCTTTGCTATTTATTCAAACCCTTTAAATATCACCTGTGACCAACATTTACATATGAGTAAAGAAATTTGTTAGTGACTAGAAGACTTGTAAGTGCATAAGTGTGAACTGTATACAGTTCAATTTCAAAGCATTGATTTTCATGTGAACATTTTTACATGGATGTTGGAAATAATCACGTGAGGTTTTTTCTTTTAGTTACAATTTCGGTTGTGCTACTTTGTGTCCTAGTGCCATATTTGGGATATATAATCTTAATATATAATATAAAATTTCTGAAAATGTAAAGTACATCAGTGATCACAGAGTGGTGACCAGTTGAGAATCACAGAGCAACAAAAAACAAAAAACAAAAAACAAAAATTGCATTAAATAAAACAAAGTTAAAGTAAAATGAAGAATGCATTTTTTATCATCAAATAAAGAAAGACAGAAATAAAGTTAGGTGTTTTTTTTTTTTTTTTTGCAACATTCTGTTACAGCTTGGCAATAAAACACACTTTTATAAGCTCTTGGTAAAGGCATGCTGTTGTTTCATTAAGCTATCCAAGAAGTATAACACATGCTCATGTTAATGGGAACGATTAGAATTGAACAAGTTTATTACATTTCACAGATCTAAATGACACCAGCGGTGTCTATTCAGGAAATAGAGTTTGCAGCATTTCCACTGCTATTAGAATCACAGTCAAAGCATGTAAATAATTCAGAAGACTTCACTGCGTACATTGCATGTTCATCCTCTGGGCATTATGATGTGAGAGACGTTTTATGATGTGAAGAGACAAAATGTACAGTAGTAGTAATTCTACAGACTTACTGCAAGAAAGCAGAAGTTCAATTTTCCTTATATTAGATTAGTGATGGACATTACGTGACAGGCTCCAACTGCAATTTGCAACATATGAAGCCATAAAAAATCCTTGTCCCCAAGGATTCAGGCTGTTGTGCGCTTTAACAGGATTGTAAACTTAATGGTTGTGACTGGATTTCGAAAATTAGATCACTTTTTAGAGCCATTCTAGACAAATTGCACTAATCAAAATGAAGTTAAAGTGACATACAAGCAGAAGAAAACAAAACAACAGTAATTAGATGTGACTCAAAAATAAATAATGAATCATATTGGTAACAAAAACAAGTCGTTCATCGCAATGTAACAATTCTTCATGTGATTATTTTAACATCTAATTTAACTGATTTGAATTATTTTTAAATACTAGACTATTTAAAGACTTAATAAACACTGCCTTTATTAAGTTACACCAATGAACGTTATTTTAAAGAGTCAGCTGATTTCGAAACATGCTCTTTGAGGCACACGCTACATATGTTCACATTTTACAGCGAAAACAAGCAATGTCTCTTTCTCTGTGGGTGGTTTGGAGTAAGCGTTCAGCATACCTCCGGGGTCCAGGCTAAATTTAGTGCATTGCCACCGAGGAGCCTAATCAGAGACTTCTCGGCAATTCACATATTTGCTGTCCATTTCGTCCATCAGCAGAGGCTGCTGGGCTCTCTGCTTTTGAGTCCATAATAAACCCTGGTCATCAAACAGACGTCTATCATTATCTCCATTACATAGTGCTCCAACGGCCTCTTCAGATCCACTGATTTTGGACTGTTAGCATAGACTGCGAATTAATTCTTCTTCATGATGTGTCTACAGTATATGGCGTGCACATGCATAGTTTGGTATCATCTCAGTAATTCTTTTTTTATTATTAAATCTATTTTATTTGATTAAATCGCAAATAAACTTTATTTGACTAAATCTTTGTTTCACAGACAGGGCTTAGACTAAGTAATTAGACTCATTTTTCTTTCTAACAGTATTACAGTATCTCAGCTGGAGCGTTCTATTGGGATCACAGTTATGGTACTCAAATGGTTTCAGTCTTTCCTGTCTAATAAAAGTTTCCCTTTTAGTTTAGGTGTTCATTTATCCTCTGGCTTGCCTCATCTATGGCGTACCCCAGAGATACCCCACCCATTCTATTTTCATTATCCATGCTTCTTTTGGGATCAATTATAATTAGATTTGGTGTGTCATACCATTGCCTTGTGGACGACATCCAACTCTATAAGGGATAATGCACAGCCAGCCAGTTGTTATCTCAGAATAAACAACGACAGGGTGATGAGGGTCTTGAATCACCCTGAAGGTGTTCATTCTAAGATAACAACCAGCTGGATGTACATTATCCAGCTTACACAGCTACTTGCCACATAAGATTTCCATTACACGAGAGTAGATGTTAAAACTTCATGCTGATTTATACTCATCTTTCGCCAAGATAAGCACAAACTAAGACATAGCTTTCCAGTAACCTATGCTTCTTCATCCATTTACGCCTCTTTCCACGTGGTTATGTAAATCTCCTTCTGTCCAGCGTTAACGGCTGCAGTGTACTTGGTGCGTCAGCTAACACATTCTCATCCCCAAAAGTCATATAACTGACGTATTGGGACGTCTTTTGACCATACATCAACATCCGCCTTTTTAGGGTACCCTTAAACGTCGGTTACATGACGATCCCGGGCCGTCATACAACTGACACTTTACCTTTAACGCCTGTTAGGTGATGGGGTAGGTTTAGGTCTGGGGTAGGGTTAGGATCCGATAACGTCATCTAACCAACGTTTAAGGGTACCCTAAAAAGGTGGATGTTGACGTATGGTCAAAAGACGTGAGACTGCGCTGTCTGGATTGAGCCGAGTGGGGGACATCTCTAGGGTCTTCAAGTGGGCACCTTCGGTCCTCAGTGTTTCGTCGACTAGCCCACGACACCTCAAGAGGGCTTGACAGTGACTCTGGCGTCCCAGATTCACCCCCCATCGTCCTCCACTCAACTCAGCCCAGCTTATTGACCTTTACATCCCTTCTGCTGGTGAGGTTGCTCCTTCCTCATAGTTCACATGACCTACCTAACCACTATCTCACAATCTCTCTGCACAACCAACCATACACACCAACCCGTTTGACTAAGGCTGTCGAGCCCCACTGTTGTCATTAAAGCAGGTTCAGTGGCAATGGTTCTGTATGGCATACCTACCGCAAAACACAATATTTGACCAAACACCAACCCTCATTCACGCAATACACAGGAACATAATAACTGTAATTACTAGGCAAACTATACAAATAAGCCAGCAGACTCGTCAAGTTTTTCAAGAATTCTATTAAACCGTAGCGTGGCGGCCTGTACACAGCCAGCCAGTATCTTTCCATCTCAACCACAGCCAGTTCCTGCTCCTCTCTGCTGCTTCAGATAAGTTCTTTACTATGCGATGCAACTCGTGGCCACTGAATTTGACACCTCTGAGGAACCGGGTTGTAGAGTCTGCCACAAATCTTCAACAACCCACTGCTACTGGATAAACCTGGACCCTCCACTCTTGCTGTTCAGAGCAGCCAGACGATCTTCGTCTGATATACCTCATCTACAGCATCCTCCCATGGCACTGTTATCTCCATCAGTTGAACAATGCGTGCTGATCCAGACCACAAAACATATCTGGTCATAGGTTAGTGGTGGCAATCTCAGGTGCCATTGATCAAGATCAGCCAGCATTTTCCAGTCCCTAGCAGCTTCCAGTTGTCCTGGGCGAGAACTGGTTTTAACGCCGTTTCTTGGCGGTTGCTCGCCTGGGTGGAGGAATATTGTTTCTGGGTGTAATGTTTTGCTAGAACAGGCGGCAACTTATTGGTCATGTGATGCTTGCCTTCCAATGCTAAAGCCAAAGCAAACATCGCCAAACATCGCAGTACTTGGTCATGGCACCAGGTTAACCGACCCTGGCTAAGAGCCACCTTACATCCTGTCAAAATGTGCCTGTGATGAACACAAAGGACAAGAGGGATCCTCTCCTACCCACAGGTTTAGGTTCTGTGGTGATGGGAGCACATCATATGTTGACCTGATAAGGAAACTGATCCTATTCTCTTCCATTGACAAAAGGTCCTGCCAGCCCATCTTGCGTTGTTCCACACTCTGCCATCTCATCCACTCTCCTTGCTTGGCCTGGGAAATGGCCTTTATACACCTCATCCTCTCCTCCTGCTTTCGCACCTTGTTGACTACCAACTTCCTCCTTTGAGCTGGGCCTGCCTTGTGCCATTTAGGAGGAGCCCAAAAAAACCCTCTTCCATCTCTTCCATGCTGTACCTGTCCTACAATATCACTAATTTGAAGGGCAGCCTTTGCCTCTACCACAGATTTATTTGCTGACCTCTTTCTACCAGTTTTTTAACACAGGTAGTAAATAATTAAACACGAAATATTGATCTTAG